AGCCCGACACCAGCTGCGCCTGTAACCGCGACCGCGTCGGAGACCTAAGACATCGAGTTGCAGGGACGGCAGAAGCATCTTTGTGTACATTCAAACACACAAGAGCCAGTATTGATGCCGGCGCTCTGCAGTACTCCAGTAGTAACTACCTACTTGATCGCTATCTTGAGGTTTTCTCTGCAAAGTGGTGGTTAGTGGTTAGTAGTCAATCATGTTGCGTGACTTTAATAGACCTGTTCCTATTTCAGCTCTTGATCACGCTGTCTGCAAGTTCAGCATACTCTTGAGCTCTGATATCTTACTTCCGAATCAGTCTCAGGTTGTTGCCCTGGTGCAAATCCCAATGATCCAGGGGAGTAGTAACCTTGTTATCCAGGCAAGGGCTGAGTAATCTTAGCTAGAGTTCAAGAACCTTAAGGACGGCTCGTATGTCACTACTGGCCTGCTAGAACATGTGCTACTGGAACAGACGACTTACACTTGTCTCGCCGGACGCGATCCAGATCTCCACCATTGCCCGCTCAGAGAACAAGTGGCTGTATGAGGTGATTTTCGAGAACCTTTCCGCTCGTCCTCCGAGTGGCTCAAGCCCAATTGATTGAGAATACTTGCGCGGATGTGGCCCGCACTGTAGCCCGCGACTCCGTGCAGATGAGAGTCAAACAGCGTATGCGGATCAAAATGACTGGGTCGCGATGTACGGTCAGGTTGACGATTAAATGCGTGTCAGAGTCCACTGTTCAGTCAGCGTTACAACCTTAATTGCGGAAGTCTTGAGACACTCCTCCTCCTCCCTTTTTTCGGGGAGAATTCAGCGTTTCGCTCCTAGTCCAAGACAGGACGTTCAGATGATTTGCCCGAGTTGCTGATCAGTCATCAAGTGGTAACGATAGAACCTTCAGGTAACTATGGACGATGGATTGCAGGTGGGACCAGAATCTGCCACGCTGAGGGTCGGTGTCATGGATGTTCATCTCACCCTAATTGAAGCTAGAGGTCTCATCGTAATGGACCCATCTTACCACGCGAGCAAGGGCCACTCCTGGGGGGGCTCAGGCCTCACCTCCTGAGAAGTACATACCTACGGAAAGGTACCCAGAGACTGGAGTCTTTTGCATTATAGGTATCATAGAGCTCAGGCCTGGCCTTGTAAAGGTAGTCAGGACTCGGAAGTGGTAGGTGAGATGAACACCTGCAGGGGAATTCGTTCGCACTTCGAGGAAATGCCATCCTGGGTTCGATTCATTATACCGCGAAAGCTTTGAAATTGGGAAACAGTTCGATCGGTTGATCAAAGACGCAATCGCCTTTTCAGCCCGGAATCCCGCCGCGGCAAGTCACAGTCGATGGCAGGGTTAAATCTGGGCACTCTCAGTCCTGAATCTGGGCCCCTTTGATACTAGCTCATCAGATTGAGCCGTATCGAGTTTGAACGGGGAAATTCGTTGTCGACACTCGACAGTAAATGTACATAAACCCATCGGTTTAGTGTGATACCATCATCTGCCGGTACCTGTGTACTTGTAGCAGTGGACATTGGGACAAAAGGGCGCTCTTTGAGTTATCACTTCAACCGGCGCCCAACGTCAAATTGTCCCCGGGTCAGATTGAGTGACCACTGACTAGTCAGTGCCCGGAAGATAGCAACAGCAGTACAGAGTACAAAGTACAGACTAACTACGGAGTAGTACATCTACACGCTCACTTAGTAGTAGCTACTAGCTAGTAAGCTACTAGCTAAGTTACTAGCTAGTAACTATAGTTTACTTCCGGACTGTTCTCAACCTCTTTCGTATGACTTCATGGCACAATGATCTTCGATCAGTGAAGGTGAGATCCACGGTCAGGATGGGTCTGGCAATGAGTGTCAATCGCTCCAGATGACTTGTCTTCCCCAATCTCCCGGCCTGCATTGACCTTGCAGGGCAAGTGTCAGAATCTCATCATGAGAATCAAATCATCACCACAGGTGTATTACCATACATACTGTATACCGCTGTATCAAGTTACAGTCTCTCGAGCGCGCTGCCCCGCCTCCCGACTATTACTAAACTAGTCGTCGACCGACGCTGAATGACTGGCTGAGACCCGTCCACTGCGTCCAGCAATCTGGGAAATGAACTGGGGCCTGTATTCCCGGTAATACTGAAACCTTCGCCCGACAGGAACGGGTGCCGCCAGCCCGCCATTGCTCGACGCTGATAGCATCCTCGGCCCCATTGCCAAAAGCTCCAAGACTGCCCACGGAAAGGCACAGTACGGTATGTCATTTACCCGGAACTTTCACCCTTTCCTCCCTCGCTCGATTTCGAGTCTCCGCCAGAGGCGACATGGTCTGACTCTGCGCTGCGGTGTGCTTTTGTATCGCAGAAGAGGATCTCGCATTGGCCAGTGGCCTCCGTCCATGCCAGTTTGCCCAGGAGTTTCGAATCAACGAACACGAATTCTCCATTTGACAGGATGTGAACGAGTCGAGTAGCTCGATCATAGCCCTCCTCAAGTAGCACAGGCTACAGTGTGTACTTGCAGCATAGAATCATTGTCGGGACCGAGGACGCATTGCGGTCGGCAATCGTAATGGTACGGGATGAATGTAATTTTGAGGCCCCATTCCGTTCCAGATCTTGTACTGGACGAGGGTACGCCTTGGTACGAACCTCGCTGCGGATTCTGAGTGCTTTTCATACAGACATCAGCCTCCACCTGGAAAGTTCGTCATGACGATACCACACAGCTAAAGCTGGGTTCCAATATCTCCGTGCGAGTCGTCTCAGCGTCTTCTTTTCTTTCCCACACCCGCCTGGAGAGAGAATCTAAAACCCTCCTCCTTGTACCTCTCCTCCCCCTCATCCTCTTTCTTCTCCCCTCCCCTTCTTCTTCAAGCCGTCTTCCGCTCTTCGTCCTCCCCTTTGGTCAATTTGCGGAGCGATTGGAGTCTGGTCTCAACTGGCCGAGAACTTGAAGCCTTCCCGCCTCCCGTTCTTCTGTCGGTCTCCTCCAGACCTCCTGTCGATTCGAATCCCCTCCTCGATTTCGACAATCCTCCCAATCCGTGACGTTTGTTAGCTCAAACGGCAGGAATCCCCCTCCCTTTTACGTCCGCGTCCGCCGGTGCCCTCTTGATCCTCGGACCCGACCCTCAACAATTGCCCTCCCTGATCCCGCTCCTGCTGGTTAGAAGAGCGACGCTGTGGGGAATATCTCATCTCGAAGAGCTTTTCTTCTGATGAACCCAAGAACATTCAGGTTCTTGACTCTTCAATTGGATTGAGGAGACTGTGTTTGATAGGGTAAGTGCCAATGTGTAAAAGATTTCCTCCTTGTCCGTCCCGACTCGGTATCACAATCTTGAAAGAAACCGACGCCGAAGTTCTCAATCAACCGCCCACTTGGATGCAAGATACAATGGGACACGGGTGCGAAGTGATTTGCAAGGGGATTCATCTGGTAGCACACTGGGAAAGCCATGCGAAGGGCACCAAGGAAATGAAAAATCTTTGCGGGTCGGCAGTGGTCGGGTGGAAGAAGATATCAAGATCGACAAGTTCTCCAATGCCATGAACAGTCTTTCCCACTTCCCCACGGTCACTGCCCTCCCCTGGGGTTTGACGCATTCCAGTCGACGTGAGCTGCAGCCGACCAAGACGGCGACCCATGGGAGAACATCGCCACTTCCTCCGCTCACACTGGACCGGGAGGAAGGGCTTTGTCAGTCGAATGTATAAGGCCCATGGCCTCATACACTATGGTGTCGCATGATCTGGAACTGGAAGACTCATTGTCCCATGCATCGGAGACTCCGAACTCATGGTCAGATGAATGCGTCGTGGGCTTTCCCGTCAGTGCAATGACAGGGGCGATGAAGATCTTATAGCAAGAATCGAGCCCGCAGATTGAACATACCATGGCTTGGGGTCGTTCGAAGGTCCAACACCTGGGCAACACATACTCGACACAAACTTTCTTAGCCTTGCCTCTCTAGCCGCTTGCATGCTGACACGATGCCTTTTTGGCGAAATAGATCTTCGGTCTGAAACGTGACTTTGGTTGTCGTTCACTGCTTCGTGTTGCGGTGTCCCTGTCACAAACGATCCGTTCTTTCTCTTCACTCACCCCCTCTTCTCAATCTCGCAGGAGGTTCTCACGGAACACGTTAACTCGTGAAGTGTATGTGTTTGTCCCGCAGCCCTTGTTGCACGTTCTGCCCCTCCCCTGACAATCGTGGTCTTGTCCCCCTTCATAGGGTTGGCCTGTGCCTATACTCCACATTCCGCCAAGCAGTACCCGGCCTAGGGGTGAAGACGTTTACTCGTACTCCATCTCTGGGACTGGCATCCACCAGAATTTGAATTCATCGGATCATTCCTGCGTCCCTGGTCTAGCCTAGATGCCAGACTCGCCGTCACGGTAAGGGTTGCAGTGTGCCCTGTGCCTGAAGGCTTCTTTGCTGGGGTCAGTATCTTTTTGCCGCTCCTTAGCCCTTGGATGGTTTGGCTTGAAATACCTCTCCTCTTCGTGCATTGGATAGCATCGTTCCTTCCCACTTCACACTCTTTCCCTCTGCATGTCTTCACACACATTCGTTAATCTGCCAATCGCACAAACCGCACACTACCCCTAATTCTTAATATTCTAATACTCTCTCTGTCACGTGGTGCTATCGCTAATCCACCTTAATTCTCTCGAGCAGCTTTCGGTCATTGAAAGATTTCCTCCACTACAATTTTCGCTGTGCCATCACCTTCTTTGCATCTCTATCAACCCTCTCTTTTCAGCATACAGACTTGGTGCCTTCCAGCTGTACCACACTCTTTGATCAACTCACCCCAGTCTTTCCCTTAATCTGATAACTAATAACCGACCACTGTCGTTCTCTCATTTTCGTCGTGACCTGCCACGCATCTTCGCGCTGCAGATCGTTGCTTCTCGTCCCAGCTCTTGCAAGCTATCTCCCATATCCGTCCATCTTCATCTTGGGATCGTTCCTCACTCGATAAATCATGGATCATTTTCGTCCTCGATCTGGCTATCAGCCTTGTGATACCTTCTTCGTTGAGGAAGACTTGCGCGCACAGGCCGAAAAGCAGGCGAAGCAGGAACATGATAAGCTTGTGAACCGTGAGCGACAGTACGCCATGGCTACTCAGCTCTCGCGTCTCACCAGCGATGAGTACCGCGACGACGCCGTCCAGCAGATGATGGAAATGGACGTAAGTTGAACAATTACTGCGTTCTTACGCAATGCCACGACCAACACACAGTCTTGATATGCTAACAATCATATGTCTCTAACAGAGTCGAACTTTGCCAGACGTCGAGTCGATTGACATCCAGTCCGAGATTCAATGGTTCATGCGTCCCTACCTGCTCGACTTTCTCATCGAGGCCCACTCTGCCTTCCAGCTTCTTCCGTCGTCTTTGTTCTTGGCGATCAATTTGCTGGACCGTTATTGTTCCAAGCGGGTGGTCTACAAGCGTCACTACCAGCTGGTTGGTTGTGCGGCCTTGCTGATTGCTGCCAAGTACAATGACAAGAAGGACCGTGTCCCAACCGTCAAGGAGTTGAAGTCGATGTGCTGCGCCCTCTATGATGACGACATGTTCATCCAGATGGAATGGCACGTCCTACAGACTTTGGGATGGTCCGTCGGACACCCCACGGTAGATGAGTTCCTCTCGATTGCCCTGTTGGATGAGCCTTATGACGCCGAAGTTGAACACATGGCTCTGTACATCTTGGAGATCGCCCTCTTCCACCGCGACTTTGTTTCCAAGCTATCGTCTGAGCTTGCTCGTGCTGCCCTGGCTCTTGCCCGCTGCGTTCTCAACCGACCTCAGCCTCGCCACAATGACTGGGCTGCTCAGTATGACTCGTCGACCGTCGTGGATCTTTCCCTCCACATCCACCAACCCTCCAACGTCGTGGCCCGCAAGTACGCTTCGTCCCACTTCTCTCGAGTTGCCAAGATCATGGAGCAGTTCCTCAGCCGTCAAGCTTCTCTGGCTAGCTACTCTCGTTGCACACCCCCAGTTGAGAGTGCAGTTGACTCAAAACCCTACATGGGGGAGATGGGACTCGCGACTCCTCAGAAGCCCCAGCAGTTGAGCGCGGTCTCTCGCGGATACATGACCCCACCCATCACCCCCGACACTGGAGCCTATTCTTCGCAGGCTACGAGTCAGGAGCTTGGTCATGGTGCCACGGCGCCCCACGGGTGTTTGCCATCTGAAGTCGACACTGAAATGCAGTACATGGCTACTGACGCGTATCATCCACAGGAGGCTGTCTATCTTCCTCAACAGTCGCACCAGGTGGCCAGTTATGCACCTCAGGGTCAGATGGCGACCGAACAGACATACTCAGCGATCATGTAGGCGCGCGACATGTGAGAATGGACAATTGACACCAGGAACTTTGACCGCGACTCAGTGACATACTTACTGGCTCGTGTCATCGCTACCCATCAATTGTCTCTGGGGAACATTGTGACGATTTGGACTCGTCTCTATCGTCGTGGTCTTCTCCCCTTTAGATGGTCCCGTCTGCATCGTCAACTGCATTCTTCTCGCCTCCAGCATTCCATCATATTGTCAACGTACGCCTTGCATCCGGCCGCGGTCCGCAGAAGTGGAGTCAAAGGCCAGCCACTTTGTTCGATCTTTCTGTTCTTCGTCAACAAATGTTTGCATACCCTCATCTCCCTTGAACTTCCATGATTTCGTGGGGTCACCATTTGCATTTCACCTCATTCCTCATAGCATTGCAAGAGCGAGCCAAATTGCAGTTTGTTTTCTGATTATATCTATTTTATTACCCTGCATCACACATGTTCCCTCGTCCACCCAGCATCTTTAACTCCCCCGCCATGCTTCCTTGAGGGGGTTTGACTCTTTCTCTCTGGATGTTCTCTTCTTTGCTGCGCGTCCGTGAGCGCTGCGCTTTGGCACACCATTGCCGACTATTTACAATCATTTGATATTCTTACCGCTCTGCTAACACCTGAGTCCCCCCCCCAATCCCTTTCAACCTTTTATCCCACCCAATGGTCCCCACTCAGAAAAGTTTTTAATGTGTCTGGATCGTCTCAGGATGGCCGCACACAAAAAAAGCAAAAAAAAAGAGTCAAAACTAATAAAAACAGCCCTGACGGTCTTGCCACTGGGGAGACTGTCTCGACAGGGACGAACAAAAATGACTTGCCCCGACCGTTCCCCATTTACCCCCTCTGCTTCCTCCTTGGAATCTTGTTCAACTACCCACTTGATGTTCTACTACACCCTCTGTGTCTATTCTAACATGTGGCCCATGTGTTACCTTCTTGTCAGGACCTTGTTGAGATAGCTTGATTTGATGACATGTGTGGAATACAATCTGCCGCATGGCCCCAAGACTAAAACAATCTTGTGGTTTCCTCGATCGACTCTTCACGATATCCACTTAGAGTAAAGGATGTAGTCTTACTTTTTTTGCTGGAGTGTTGGTAGGATTTGCCGATTGAATTTCCCACTCCTTTGTGGTTGCCAAGGTCATCTCGACCAAGTCCATGGATCTATATAAATGTCCGTGAACGCATTAGTAATTCCCGGCCCGTCCCTGCTGTTTCCCATAGCTGGTTGCCATTATGTAATTGACTAGGTATCAAGACTCAAGGAGGAGTGGAGGTAGTCTGACCAGATATAGTGTTTCAATTGTGGCTTCGATTTTTTGCTCTCATCTCCTTGCGGCACAAGATAGGAAATTTCATGCCTCATTTTGGTAACTGCGGGATTGGGACCTCTCTGGGAGATCCATCAATGGAAGTACCTATACCCTCAGTAGGTACTTGTATTTTGATTCATGACATGACAAGGTCGTCGGTGCCTGAAGCTTCATTCTCCATTGCGTCGCTTGTTCTTTTTCCACGGGGCTCTAATCTGAAATATACCCAATCCACCACTATGCCAGCGCCAACTGGCGTGCGCTATTTGAAGAACCCGACATCGAAGTTTCAAAATGAGTAGCAACTACTACTTAGTACTAGCTACGCACGTAGGTACTGTACCTCGAGCTGGAGATAGTGATACCAAGACTTCGACTTGTAATCGTTGCCCTGTTCTGGAGGTTTCCAATGCATCGATGACGTTTGAGGTCTCTGCCAATGCAAGTTTTTATCAGAAGCCACTCTTAGTGCTGGTCGGTCCTTGATGCGCCTTCTAGGGCTTGAACACCGCGATGCTCGACGCTTCTAGCCTGGAGTAATCTGAGGTGGAAGATCAAACCCGACTTGATACATAAATCGCAGCTGGTAGTACGGTCTCCATGGACTGACTGTCCATATATTCTGTGCTCTGGCCAGAGCCCAGCCCGGCCAAGCCTACCTGCATCCATGTACACGACGAAGTCACAATCTGTCGTTTCATCCCGAGTCAGGGAGTGGGACAGTACCCGATCCGGACACGCAGATATATACATGGGCTCTGTTCAAAAACCTACCCTAGGTATCCAGTCCGTTGATACTCCCCGATCGCCTTGTCAAGGAACGTAGGTGCGTACCTGACATAGGTAGACCAGGTCCTGCTCTTTACTTACTCCCCATAAACCATCATCGGATAGGTACCTACTAGGTAGATAACAGACGCAACGCGATTCGGGAGCCAGCGGCCTTACCAAATCACGAACCACAACACTTGATCACCTGATCATTCCACAAGAAGGCCATCTCGTCAAAGTCCCCTGGCAATCGCATCGCAAGACATTCCATCCCATTTGAAAAGTGACGCGTTTCAACCTCGACAGAAACCCATGGCTGATCAAGTCAGGAGCACGAAGTTTAAGGTTTTCCCACTCAAAACAGTATGCCTCAAGGGACGAAAGAAGACCCTGGACCTAAGTTACTGACCTGTTCTCGACCTCCTCGTACCTGGTGCCGGTTTCTCAACTATACCCAAGTAAGGTAGTACCTATGCTGGGATGGGATGATCGACCTCGAGCTTGGCTCGTCAGGAAGGCGGGGCATGGCCTCCAAGGAACTATGCTCCTGCGGGGATTAGCTATAGAATATACTATATAGTATATACTAAGTGTATGTTGTACCTGCTTCATCGACTATCGACAACACCTTTCCTCTTGAATCAACCGTGCTTACAAAATACATACTGTAAGACAATGTTGACTGTGGTGTCTGCTCCAGCGTCCGCATGTTTCGGGGAAAAAGGTAAACAAAACGCCCTCTAATGGTCCGGATGCTCGCGCTCAAAGTGGACACTTTGAGGACATGACACCCAATGATAGGCTGTATAATGTCTTTGGGGTCTCCATTGGGGTCTCCACAGTCTGCGGATTACCTAAGTATGCCATGCAAGTTATCTGTATTTTTCTTTCATTCTTGTTGATATTGAGTGTTTGCTAACAGTAGGCAAAAGTAATCTTGTAAGTAATCCCGCTATCCACGCTATGCATCGCAGTGTAAATATATCAAAACGTCGAGAGAAAAGCAAACGTTACCCATTTGCCGCCCGAGGGCAGGAGGTAAGAGAAGGTTGAGAAATGACGGTGACAATCTGGTTTCTTCAGCGAGGACCGTGACCAAATGAAAGCGGAAAGGGGAGGGAGCGGAATCACAATTGGGTGCTGAGATAACGCTGTCCGCAAGTAGGAGGATTTCCAAAGAAGAAGCATCCCAAAAAAAAAAAAAAAAAAAACAACAGTGCTGCTGTGGTGGTACAATGAGGTGTGAATCAGGCGAGAAATAAGGCAATGTCGTACAAAGAGGCAGAAATAGCATGAAAGGTAGGAAATAGCGGGAATGGTCATATCTTCCTCGATATGAAAGACGTGGGATAACATCGGACCGAGTAGAGCAGTAGCAGAAAGCAGCACCAGACGAGAAACCGACAACCCATGAGCAACGACGTGGACTGTTCAAGATGCCATTCGAATTGGGGGGCGACCAAGGCCATGTCAAGACCTCGTATGATGGTGATCGGGCTGTAAGAAATGCGCGGAAAGAGCGGGAGTGGAATGACTGCGGAATATGGAGGCTCAATGCTGGGAGAAGCTGGTGACTGTTCCTCGCCGGTGATCATCATAGGGGACGAGGATTTTCGAGTAGCAAAGGAGAAACCTTCACTGGTCGAAGAGCAACCTCTGCATTGTCATACTGATATTGGCACTTCCGATTGTCACTCGCACAGGCTGGATCATTCTATTCCGAGTCACTGTTGCTTAGATGAGAGACTTGAGGAGAATTTCCAGTTGGCTGGGGGCATGATAAAGCGCCGTCAATACCTGACCCTGGCCACTCCTCCACTTCACCCGTCTGAAGTCACACAACGAAAAAGCGCCATCGAGACTGAACGTAGCGAGGGGAGTGGTCAGCGCGAAGCCTTGCGCGTAATTTCGAACGAGGCCGGATCGCGTGCATAAATAATGCCAGCCTCTCATTGCTCTTGTGTGTTGTGTTGGCTGATCTCTCGAGCTGTCCATAGATTTGCCGATCTTTCCTCAATTGCTGTTCCTGTATTGGCTCGACTTGCGGTCGAAATCTTCCCCGTCATTCTCCGCAGGGTCCCAATCCCCGGAGGAGGGAGGTCTGCGATGGTGTTACTTCCATCGCTGTTTATCCCAATCTGACGGCCGTGTTTCGTCATAGATTTGGCCGCCTTTGTTGTGGATGATAACGGGCGGTTTGCGGACGGAACTGATAGCTGTATATGGAGATGCGGTTAGTCCAGGTCTTATGAAGCTGCTGTGGGGGATGTGGGACAGGGCTGGAATGACATACCTCGGACTTCCGTCGCACCGCCCTGATCTGATGTACTGCTGACTCCGCTGGCCAAGGTGGAATTGGAGTCGTTGGAGAGCTTGTGAGGCATGGTGATGGAAGTGGGAGGAGAGAAGATCAATTGAGAGTGGAAAAGAATGGTGGAGGTAAATCCTTGATCAATTCGAATGCCTGAGATGACGACAAGAATGACGATGAGGGTGATGATGGGGATGGAGCGATAAGGATATGTCAAGATAGAGGGAGGCAGTATGAGAGAAGGGAAGAAGGAGAGAGAGCAGACAGTGTTGAACTGGGTGCGAATCCGAGAGCTAGTACGCTGGGAGTGATGGGCTTTAAGAGAGAGTGATTGATGGAAAAGATTGATGATGCAGGTGGAAAGATTGTGTGGCAGATGAGAGAGGCAAGTACAACCAGCGTGGTTGCAGAGCGAACACAGCAGAAAGGCTTCTTTTTGTATACCTTCCAGCGGACCAGTCCAGCTCTGTCGCACCTTACCCGATTGAGGAGTGCATCTGATCGACAGACCAACTCCGGGGAACCCTGAGCCGCCATTATCGCCCCGGGAAGCTTGGGGGGAGACGCCTTTGCTGACACAAGCGATGGGGTCCGATCATTGGGAAGCATTGGGAATGGATCAGCCCCCTGACGTACATCCTCTGGAAGTGGATATACTGTAATTCCGGTGTCAGTACTAGTACTACTACTACTACGACTACTACTACTACTACGACTACTACTCGTAATCTCACTGCATTTTTTATGCTTATACATACTACATAGTAAGTTACTACTATTGGTACTTAAGGGGGGTCTGGATGACAGAGACTATCATCAGTTAAGAGCTCAAGTAATAGACAACTTTTAAAAAGAGTACAAGCTGTGGGCTGTCTTTGATTAGAGTATAGACTTACTCCTAACTAGTAGGCTAGTAGTATACATTTGAATCTTTTTCCACTGCACCGTGACGAGTAGACTTGAGACTTTCAGATTACAACATGATTGTCTAGGTCTCCTCAATTCCAGGGAAATCATATGCTGAAAAAAAACGTAAATATCAAAAGGGGACTAGAGGCACGGGACCGAAATGTACGCCTTGTTGTTCATTACGTCGCAAAAAATGTGTCCATATACAGACCTACAGGGTCTCAATATGGATTTCTACGCATCTTCTTACATACTAGACAGTAGACACCTACAGAGGTGAGTATCACTAGTAGGAGTCGGACAGCCCGCTCATGGCTGGGGCTCCGACAGAGCCTGGGCTGCATACTACTGTAATGTAATACTGGAATTTGGTGCCTGGTATGAGGTTATGAGGTATGTATGATATGACACTCCTGAACCATTGGTCAGAAATGCCAGGTCGAAAGTAGGGCAGCCAGTTACGAGTGCAATTGAGCTCTCGAGTGGATCCACTGTAGATTACCATTACGGGGCTAGCTGATACATAAACACGGCCTGTACCAGCACACAGGGGGTGACAGGGTGTAGTTGTACTGTTGTACTACTTTCCAGGTATCCATAGTTCCAGCTTTATTGTATACTGTTCGACAGCTGAACATTTGACGCTAGGTCAGGTCCTGTTCTTTGCGACCCAAGTGCAACATGCCCAGTAATACAGTATTGTATCATTCATCTCATGCACTTACGTTAAGATCAACTACAAGATGTCCCTGTATCAATGCCCTTTCGTCACTGAATGGATCAGATCGGGTGTCGGGATGGATTTTCAGGAACGAAGCCAGTGATGAGATGGACGGTGGAGCCAATAATGATGAGTCAGCCATTCTTCCAGAAATAGTACACCAGTGTAATGGACTATTCACTATACTATCACCATCAAAAGTCAACAATAATCACCCGCACGACCAGTCTTCTGATTATAAAGTACAACTCAAACATAAGCAATAATTTCATAGTAGAGTCAGATGTTTATAGTGAGGTGTGGGCACAACGGCTCTCTGCAATGCGGAGTACCGTGCAAGTGTCCTGAATGTGAACAACAGCCAGCTAAGCATCGGCCGACAAGCGGTGATGCCTCAGGCCCCAGATAGTGGGTCCAGCTCATGTGACCAATCACTTGACACGGCAAACCTGTCCAGTTCCACGTACATTGAAGTGGTCCCTGAATAATGTAGTCAATAATGTCCTGTCCCCTGTCTTAATTTTCAACAATTGATGGCCGACTAGTGCCTGTGATGGATGGAGATTCAGTCAATTGTGAGGATGTCTGGGCGATCCTGAAGATGACACGGGAGGCAAGAATCTCTCGGCAAAGCTCTCACTGGAATAAATCTAGACGATGTCACTTTTCGTGGCGATAGGGGGATCGGATCATCCAGGGGCCAGGAGAAGCGCCAAACTACACCGACATCTTCGATCCCTGAGCCTCCCTCCGGCCTGACAAGGGCCTAGAAGCGGGTGAGGGAATTGGGCCGGGCTGGCTTGTTGAAGCCTAGAGAGTCGTAGTACGGCACCAGCGCAGCACACGACTGTAGCACAGTAGTCGCACCTAGCAACCTACCGGATCCAGCGCTCCACAGGTCAGCGAATCCACTCAGGCCCAGATTCCTCCTTCCTTCGAGTTCAAGGTACGGTGATGGTCTTGGGCTTGAACTCGGGACCTGTTCTCCCTTGCCCCTGAGCTGTCACCCCCGAGTTTTGCAAAACAATTTGGCGTCAGTGGCGAGAAGCGCGATGAATGCGAATAAAGCGAATATCCCGCGCCAATCATTACTGCCCTTGATTGAATGGATCGTCGATCCTGTCACTACTGACGACTCATTGTCGTTCTTCGGCCGCTTCCAAATCCGACGTCCTTGTATGACAGCTCCGGTATTTGTGAGGCGAGGCGAGATTGCAATGTGGAAGCGAAATCGTTAGGTACAGGAATACGGAGCACGGCACATACGAGGTCACGGGACTGCTGCAGAGCAAGCATGAAACGGGACAGGAGATATCCACAGGGACTTATTGAGTCGGACTTGGGTGCTCATTCGTTTCCTGTTGGTGGAGAGTCCTTCCCTAATTATGATTGACGGTTCAGATGCCTGCCTGCTGTACACTTTGCATCGGTGAAGCAGAAGTTCCCTTCCGGGCTACTACACGTCACTTCAATGCTTCTAGCCCAAGGTTTCCATTTTCGGTTTAGGCGGATTGGGGATCCAATGATCGCAAAGGCGTGACCTTCTGTCCATTCCTACAGTCGACTCGGGGGTCAACGCAGGCATGCATGGCCCGATTCTGGGTCCAGATTCATTCACCAAGCAGGGAGGCAGGACCGCCGACATGGTGAGGCTATGAGAGGAAGAAAGGGGGAAGGACACAGAATAATCATGGCATAACCCCATGCTCGCAATTCCCTCACCCAAGCTCGTCCATCTCGTCTTGAGGGCTTGTCTTATTGCATCCGATCACCTTGCCCACCAGTTTTCTCTCGTTTCATCCGATCCGCCCAGCCGTTCATACTCCGTCGGATGCCCAGGGTTCGACGCCCAGTCGTTGTCGGTGCCTGCTGGCGCACCTGGTCCATTGTGGTAGTGTAGAATGCCTTGGATCGAACACTGCTGGAAGATGCGGGCGTGGTTTCCCCTGGGCCCTTAGAAGTCGACTCACTCATTTGATTCTGGAAGGCTGGCGAGGAGAACATTCGGGCAGGCTTTAGCGCATCAGACGAGGTGGGAGCTGCCATCCACGTGTAACTCGTTGGACCAGCAGGCTCGAGGGCTGGTCGTGATGGGTGCAGCGGTCGTGGCTGGAGGCGGTGGGAAGCAAGCGAGACTGGGACATGACTGGGGGCTGACTGCGGCTGTGGCTTCGTCGACGAAGCGAGGCGATCGTGCGAAGTTGACTTAGCCGATGGAAAGTTGGGCTGAGATGATCTATCCTTTGTACGGGAAACGCCGGGGTTTCCGAAGAACGTTGAGATACTTGCCTGATTAAGGCCATCTTGGTGAGCGGAAGTGGTGATTACCTGAGCTTTGGCTTGTGAGCTCGCGCCACTCTTGGAATCTTCGGGTTGAACCGCAATGTAGTCTCTCGCTGACGTGAAACCCCCAGTGGACATCGTGGTGGGGACCATAAATGTAGATGATGTACCGGACTTGTGGCTAGTAATTGAGTTGGAAGTCAACGCTCGCCTCTCATCATCATATCTTCTGCGCTTGGTAGATGGTTCTTGGGTACTGTCACCCCAGTTTTGCTGATGATTCCACCCGTTGTCCTCGGCGCGAACTTCCTCGCCTTCCGATGTCCACCTGTCGTCCAGGATGGACGGCAGCGTCGCAATATCTTTGCATAATTCTTCAGCGGTCGGACGGGCTCGCCGTAGAGTATCCGCAATGCCATAAACAACTTGTTCGTGAAATTGAGGACCTTTGAGACGAAACCGTGACTTGACAATGCGTGGAGGCAGGAAGGGGGTGAGGCTGGTCGAACCATCTTCTCCCTCGCCAACGCGAGGTTGCTTGAGGGGTAGACTCAAGTACAAGAGGGCCTGGGCTCGAGTCATGGCGACGTATAAAAGCCGCCGTTCTTCGTCGACTACCTCAGCTCGCGAGTGAGGAATACTCCCATTGTAAACGGCAGGAATGAAGACAACTGGCCACTCTAGGCCTTTGGCCGCGTGAATAGTCGATATCGTCACGCTGCCTGAACCCCCGTCGTCCTCATCCTTGCTCTGAGCCTCCGTGGCCAGAGCCACATTTGCCAGAAATCGAGACAGTGCCTCTTCCCCTGGGTGAGTTTGTTGCTGCTCAACGCCCTCAATCTCAGGCAAGTCCTCTTCAGGGTTAGTTTCCCCATCCGACGTGACAACATCGCTAGCTTGACCCATCAGCTCCTTCACATTCGCCCAACGACCGTCCTCATCCAGCGGGTACGTCTTGAGCAGATATTCTTGGAATGATAGACTCTCGACGATGTACTCAAGAAGTACGCACGGTGCCGACGCATCCGCGCAATCCTGTAGCTTTTGCCTGGAAGCATCAATCAATTTGACTAGGGCGCAAAGGCCAAGTTCCGCTGCCTTTTGCAGCTTCTTCTCTGTTGCCCTGCGGCCTTGAATCACGTCTTTGATGAACACCCACAGAGTGACGCCCGCCTTCTCCGCTCCACCTGTCAATTGTTTGATAGTCTCATCACCGATGCGGCGTGGTGGGACGTTGATGATATTCAACAAAGCATCCGAATGGTCTGAATGACTCACGACTCGCAGATAGTTGAGCAGTGTTTTGACTTCGACACGATCGAAGAATTTCCGACCGCCGACCATCTTATAGGGAATCCCAGCTCGTCCGAACGCGGACTCAATGCGTGTTGATAATGAGGCAGATCGAAGGAGAACCGCAAAGTCACACATACGAAGTAGGTCGCCGGTCAAGGCAATGCTCCTCTTAATTTCCAAGACCATCCACGTCGCTTCTGCGTTTGGATTCGGGAGTTTCCGTAAAACAGGCAAGGTACCGAATTTATGAGTCGCTTCAAGCTTCTTGGCAGGTCGCGTAGTGTCTTGTTCAATCACATCTTGCGCAGAATTCAAAATAGACCCACAAGAACGATAGTTGGATTCCAGAAGAACAACAGACGTGTTGGAGTACTTCTTTTGCATTCGCCGGAGGTTCTGGATCTCTGCGGATCGGAACCCATAGATGCTTTGATCGGGATCACCGACGATAGTAATCCGACGGTGTTTGGCGGCAAAAAGATTCATCAACTCGTACTGAATGATATTGGTATCCTGGAATTCATCGACCAGGACCGTCTGCACATTCGAGACGCATTCAGGATGCTCTCTTAGCAGATCACAACAGCGTACAAGAAGGTCATCATAGTCGAGCAAATTGGCTGCCGCAAGAGCCTCGTTGTACGCGCTGTAAATCTCGACCAGTTCCACTTCATCAGCCTTGACCTTGTCGGACAAATCCCTCGGTGAGAGACCATGCGCCTTGTGTTTAGAGATTCGCCCTTGGGCTGCTCTAACATCAATAGTTGATTTCAGACGTTTGATGATTCTCTGTCAGAGGCATCAGTGATGGTGTCTTTGAGCGAAACGACCTTGAGGGATCATCAAAATGCACAATTTCCACTAAATGCACCAAGACCTACCCGCAAAATGGCACGAGTATCGTCCGAATCTGCGATTCCGAATCCCTTGCGCAGCCCAATTAAATACCCGTACTTGACCAGGTATCGTCGACAGATCGAGTGGAAAGTGCCCAAAATCAGTCGTGACTGCAACTTCTCCCCGATCAGCTTGCTAAGACGCTCGCGCATCTCTCTACTGGCCTTGATCGTGAAGGTGCAGCAAATGACATCTTGTGGCTGATAGCCATGGTGAGAGAGCAGGTACGCGACACGCGCCGTGAGGGTTTTCGTCTTGCCCGAGCCCGGAGGAGCGAGAACCTGGAGAACCGGGGCCGACGAGGTGACAGCCTCGCGTTGAGCGTGGTTCAGGCCATCAAGTATGGGATCCATGTCATTTCTGATAACGAACCTTGGCCGGGTTCGTCTTGACGTGAATCTTTCTTCCCCTCGAAGGTTCCTCCTTCCTAGATGTGGCGAGATGGACGCGTCCCGGACGCGGTGTCATGTGACACTGAACTACCACGAGTATCTGGAACAAGTACGCACATTTTGAAGGCGCTGCAACTCAGAATCAATTTGATATTCATCGCAGACAGTAGCCTGCAAATTGTCTCTGAATATTTGAATGGAACCGAGGAGTTTTATCAGATCTGTGGTTCTAGGTGAATGGATGAGATGAACTTCAGTGGGACGCATTTGCGCCGTGCGTCGCTCACGCCTTCAAGGCTTGGTCACCAATGGATGTGGACATGTTCATGACTTGACACAATCGCTGTTGGATGAGAGAATACTATCACTTTGGCGGGAAAAAAACATGATCTTTTTTTCCCACTCTATTTGAGTACTGCCATTGGCTATCCACGTAGACCTTCAACATGAGGAGCGTTGAATAGCCTTAAGGAATAGAAGGAGACATACCAAAATCAACACCATGCGCAATACCTTCAAAACGCTTACGATTGTCAGTCTGCGGATAGGAACTGTACAGGGAGGTTCGGGCTTCACGATGCAATAAGATCACACAAGTACTGTAAGTGTAGAGTGCTGTACATCAACTACTGGCTCAATGGCTCGAACAGGAGCCTACCTCAACTACACCGGAAGACTAAACGCCCTCAGGTGCCGCAGCCACGAATGCAAACCTTGCGAGCTAGAGTTCCTCCAAATCCGTCGGTGCATGTTGGAAACTCTAACACCAAAGCTCTACCTAATCCGTCTAATCAGATGTGTTGTGGTAAATCGATTTATCGCATCCGACGCCCTTGGATGACATTTTAGGCAATCAAGCGCCCTGAGGAGATGATGGCCGATATCGGATCTCGGTAACGGACCGGGGGGTGGGGGGTAAATGTAGTTCCAAATTCTCCGATATGGAGAGACTCTGCATGAGCCTCCATTGCATCTCCCATACACCCTTCAACATTAGCGAAGCGTTGTCTTAGATGACGTTGGCTAGCAGACGTCTCCGATGCTGCAGAACGCTTCAGCTTCCAGTATCAATAAATCACAATCACCTTCCTGGGCATATAGGATGAGCTAGGTCGGGTCGACAAGAGAAACCATTCTCGGATTCTCATTACCAAGAAAGATACCTAGATAACGATTCGTATAATTAGGCACGGAGTCTGCCTCTATAGAGTGTAGTGTGCAGTGTACACTGTACAGTGAAAACTTCTCTTCCACTTTCAGCCGTCTACAGATGATAATGCACTGGAAGAGGATCCAGATTCATCGCGTGATCAGCCGCTCGGTCCTGTCCGTCATGAGGATGGATCTCGGGCAAAGTCCACTTCATGCTGTCCAAAGTAAAATGCACGATGTAGTCTAAGTTAGGCAGGTCGAGAGGTCTTCTTCCACACGGCTCCTAAAGTAGGTCGCTTCCAATCATGCGCCACAACCCTCCTGGACTGACAACCGAGTGAGTGGGTAGCGAACACACAGGCCCTCCCCGAGCCTCCCGCGCTCATACGGGAGTTGTGTAACATGCTGAAGCATGAGATGTATCGCGGGTGGATCCAAACTCCATAGTGACCCAACTTTGAGAGGTGGGTGCGCAGTGGACGCGTATGGGTTCAAAATATTGGCAGGTCGATACAATACTTGGGTCGCTCAAATGAGATTTGAGTGGGAGGAAAAATGGGAGAGATATATTCATTCTGATGCTATTACCAGAAAATCGCTAAGAAGCACTCTGGCCTGAACAGACGGTGAAAATCATATGCAGTTTGATGAATCATTTAAAAAGGAAAAAAAGAAAAGAAAAGAGACCGGAGTTGCGCCAAAAGCAAACCCCAGAGGTTGTGCAGTTTTCGCCTGCTGGCGCAAATAACCCTGTTCTCGGGCGATGGGCCCTCAGGAGAAGGGGAAAAACAAACGCCGAGCGCGCCGTAAGATGGATGTTAAGAGTGATGGGATGGAGCAATAAAACCACCATGCAAGAGAACGCCTCAAACTTTAGCAAATGTCGAGACGGAGAGAATGTTTAGTCTGAGCTGAAAATCCCCAGAGGAAGACTCATGGCAACCTCGTAGTTGGGGACATTGACAATTTCCGTAATGTGTAAGTCTCCTGCCACACTGGCCAAGATGTATGCCTCGGATTTGGTGAGGCCCTTGGTATGAATGAGCCACTGAATCAGACCACGAACGGCACTTTGTGCCGCCACGTAAAGGTCAGGTGCAACGCCAAGAGCACCATAAGTTCCCAGGTCGGGCAAAGGGTTTGGTATTTGAGCGCGGGGGGGAGTCTGATAGTGAGGTGCGGTGACCCAAGGTTGATTCTTCATCACTTCGAAACGGAGGGTGGCCTTGATGGGAGTTTCGATAGCGGTTCCACACACTTCCCCCTGGCCCTGAGCAGCGTGTCCGTCGCCGCAGCTGAACAAGGCGCCCGCCGTCTGCACGGGCAAGAACACGGTTGAGCCGACGCTCAGCTCCCGGCAGTCCAAATTACCTCCCGCCTGCGTAGGAGGGACTGTCGACAATTCCTCATCGGTGGCGGGAGCGAGACCCATGCACCCCAGGAATGGCCGCAGTGGGATGCGCATGCCTTTGAACTTTGCATACCCCTTCTCACGATCGAGCGACCAAATCTTGATTTCGGGTTCCGGGAAATCCTCTGCCAGCAGACCAAAGCCAGGAATGATCGCGGACCAACCCCAGTCCGCGACTTCGAGGGCCAACACTTCCACTTTCAGCACGTCCCCTGGCTGCGCATCTTGCACGTAGATGGGTCCAAACACAGGGTTGGCGATGCTTAGATCGAGAGCACCAATCGCGGATGCATCCGAGCCGGCATTCAGCTGGCCGTTACTGCTATCGATGGCGTCAAAGGTGACTGTTTGACCCGACGCAACAGTCAACTTGGGCGTGATTTTTCGAGACCATCTGACATGTCCGCATTCCTTTCCCACGTGGAAATTGTTCCAGCCCGCGGAGGCCATGCTAGAGCTGGGGGCGGTGATTGATTTGACGTGAGAGAGTGTTGCAGTCATCGGAGGCGATAGCCACGGGTGATATTCTATACTTTCGGCGGAGTTGCGACGAGGACGACAACAGGGAACCGAGGTCGAACGGTGTCAAGAGAAATCAGGCCCGGTGGCGGGCAAAGGCGACTTTTAACGATTCCCGTCTATATGAGAAAATAAGGAAAGAAGAGGAAGAAAGAGCCCAGAGATCGAACGGGTCCGGAGGGTCGACTTGGGTGCCATTTTAGACGAGCCCTCTAAGCGGGCAGGGTGCGATCCTCTCTTGATGGGAGGGGGGGGGGGATGGACAGTTAGGGAAGGTGGATTAGCCACACGAGAGAGTGGGAGGGCGGAAGAGGGGGGGGGGGGGGGAGGGAGCGGATGGAGCACTGAGCACTGAGCACTGGGCATCGAGTCCACTAAACACCATCATCATTCGATCGCCAGGACTCGTTGTGACGACTTGTCGGTGGGAAGGTGTGAGTTTCCATCGCGTCCAGAGGACGAGTGGGCTCTGACCAACTTGCGCAGATACAGTAATGCTTGTTCTCGAAGGGGGCTCCACTCCGGGAATCCGATTTCGTCGCCTGCCTAAACGGGCAAGACAAGGTTCCAGGGCACTGGAACTACCATCGGCCCGTTTGGAGCCTCTCAAGTCGCGGCCAGTATACCGCAGGTACATGCACCACTCATGCAGTACTAGCCGTAGTATGCCAGACTTACTGCCCTGCTCATTTGGTATAGTACCTATGTAACTACCTACTACCTAGTCGTTCGCGTCAGGTCAGCATCAGGCATCATCATTATCATCATGCAAAAGACTGGAGCAATTTCGTAGTGCGTCGTTATTTGAGCTTCAAACGAGCTGCCTAGTCGTCAATGTTGCTTTAGTTTTCTCTAGTCCACTTCGATCAGGTGCGCAATAAGCGATCCATGATCTGGTAGGTACAAGTAACACTTAACAGTAGTATAATTCTGCCTACCAAAGTACTACTGTTGTACTTCAGACTGACCAAGCGAGTACCGCATAGTCACGCTTACGAGTTTGCCGCCTCTTCACGCAATCTCACTGATGTCTCGCGACGAAGAACATGGGTCGATTCCAACTACACGCGACTCGCTTTCAAGTCACCCGTTTTGGGGGGGGGGGGGGGGTTCGATAAGAGACTAGAGATGTTGTACAGTACCTTAGTATGCCCTTTCGCTTACTCCAGAAAATCATTTTCCATGATGTCGTTTTCTTTTTGTCTTCTCGAGAATAGGGTACTCATTTTCATTAACGTTTCTGCAGGTCATGATTGGCCTTGAACGGAATACCGGTCCACTCTGACGGAATGAAGCGCCTATTCGCCTTCTCTTTGCCCGCCCCCCACTCTGTATCTCCTCTTTACTCATCGTTGTTCTTCTTCATATTAGCCTGACTAGCCTCCCTCCTGGACCCGTAGCTGGTCAGGTCAAACCCATAATCAGTCGCAGTCGCCGGTGGATGTACACGGGTACAGCAGGTGAATGCGGATGTCAAACGTATCCGACCACCTTCCAATACATGAAGGTACTTTTGACAAACTGCATGGACCACGGCATAAATCGTTGTACTCATCGGCGATGCTCCGTCCAGTCACCTGATTGGAGCCAAAGGCTTCCTCGTTATGTCATCCGGGACCGATAACCTTCCAGATCGACCTAGTCAGCTGTCCCGAGGGGGAGCACCATCCGGTGGGGCCAGCACCGAGGTTAAAAGAGGGGCATGTCCCCGAACGGGATTGAGCAGGGAGTGGAGGAGTGGAGGAGTGGAGGAGTGGCACAGAGGACTAGAAACCGTCAGTTTGAAGAAATCTGACAGGAGAGGACAGAAGAAAGATCATTCTTCTGCGAAACCATGCTGACGAGCTGGTGACTGGTGGAAGAGGCGACGAGGTGCACATGGCTGCCTCGGGACTGGTGCCAGCACAGGTGCAGGTGTAAGGAGAGAGACCGCGAAAGCCACTAGATTAGGTAGGTAGGTCGGGGCATTATCATCAGCCTCAGGAGCACCCGAGGAGTTTCGGCAGGGTTGATAATTTATCCAGCGATGCACAAGCGGGGCATTCTCGTCACTCTCTGATCCAAAACATAGTAGTTATTACAGTAGGTCTGAGCAAAGTAGTGTAAAATTTACATGCCTCGAATAACAGTACCACTTGAAGTCGTGACGTAGGTAGTAGGTACTCTAACCGAGAAGACAGTCTCACGTTGAAGGTGGTGGCACTATAGTAGTAGTATCTACTATCTAGGTATTAAGTCCTGACTCACCGAGTCATTCAACAGTCGCTACATGCGATGATCATCACTTCGAGAGTAACTAGGCAGTAGCAGTCACAGGACGCCTAAGGAGCGAGAGAAAGGTCTTGACACGGAATCCGTCCATCCGGCGATAGACCCCTAGGTGTTGCATGTGTAATGCGACAAGAATGGAGCAAAGAGGCTCGTGGCATCGAGTTGCCCAACGTCAATGACCCTCTCGAGATAGCTTCGGATTCGATGGAAGGACGGACGAAGGATTCAAGGTTAGCACATGAAACGCGACGCCACCGGAGCTTTCCACGAAAGGCAGGCCGTTTGACGAAATCGGATATTTAAATACCCGAATGGGGAAGCAGTGCGATTTTCGAAAAAAAAAAAAATCTTTTTCGTTGGGCCCACTTATCGAAGACTGGAAAACGGTAAAAGTTTCCTATCTTTTTATTTTGTATGTGTTTGACCCCTCAACCTCTTTCCTCTTCGAGACACTCGTTCGCCGGTTGTACTCATGTACAGCTCCAACGTTCTTTGGTAATCCGTGGCTCTGTATCTCAGCGGGACAACCTGTAAACGTGGCACACATTAAAACAACCATCTCCGTACTTCAAGGTGCTATCTTCCAGCTGAAGTGTGTGCTCTCTGTCTCTTGGTGGTGTGAAATAGATACGGATGACTACCTTACTTGAGTTCTGCCTTTTCCTACAGAGAAGCACTTCCACTCCTCCACCTCTGGGTATGCGTTTCTCTTGGTGGAAGCGGCGTGGCCATGGCCGGCCAATATGACAATGTATGTAAGGTTAGGTTCAGCTCCTGTGTGCGACTGGACCACTACATAGAACCCAAGGCCTGGAGATACCTACTAGTCCCATGCGATACAATGAGTCTGAGGGCTCTGGAGTCGCTTGAGATGACTGCTGAAATTGTTAGGTAAGGGCTTCGGTGCTCTCAACCGAATTTGACGGCCATTGGGACTGGTGAGTGGTGACAGACAAAATAAAGTTACTTAAAGACGACCACGAAAAAAAAGCAAAAAAAAACCCCAGCGTCTACTACTGTCGGCTGGAGCGGTCTTACATTCTTGTCTACATACTTAGTTGTCACATAATGATCGACCTCAGATCTTGGGGTATTCGGAGACATTAAAGATAACAGCAAGAATACTGGTGTCGAGATGGTCGATACTCGGGTTCTCTACAGTTTGACTGAAGTAGTAGGTACGGGACGTAGGTGTAGGTGAGTGAATCATTGATTTCTAGGTATTCGTCTGAATCTGTCAAGGACCCGTAGGCGATGTTTTTTTTTCCCCCGATCATCTTTGTCCCGCTCACGAGATTTCTGGGAAAATCTTCCGAACGGAAGCCGTGGGCGATTCCTTGCTGAAGACACGACCCGCGAGGTCTTGGCTCCCTGGGTTGCAACTTGAAAGCTCACCCGTCGAAGGAAACCCCTTTTCCCTTTCCACAGTCACCTTCTTCTTCGGGTCAACGCAACGAGCGTGGTGGGGACCCACGCCAATCCAGGTGGTACATTGGCTCAAAATAGATCAACGACAGAAGGATCTGCAATCTTCCATTGCTCCTCGACTGGACGGACAACAAGACCAAGATCAAATGCCAACACAGAACCAGATGTCGCAACATGCCCGCCGCAGTCCAACATACAAGAGGCCGTTCAGATATGGTCCAGGCAGATCGAGATGGGCGCGGTCTTCAGATTGACGGGACCCTCCATTGACATTCCTGGAAACTGCTATGACGAGTCAACGTTCCTCCACAACAGTGATAACTATGCACGTTGCGGTTACATATATCACGAATCCGTCCACGGGCTCATCATGGATTGAAGTCTCTAAATAGTACTGCTACCATGCGAGAAAAACCCAAGCTCATCTGGAGTTTTTCCGAGTAGACTGATGCAGCAGCAGTGTCTCTTTTCGGGGCTCTTCCAATCATTGTCATGTTTGTCCTTTCTCCGTTTTGGGTCTACAACGGTCGACATGCATGTCGAACACCTTCCGCTTCTCTTTTTCTTGCTTTCCCAGTCACCGCTTAGGAGTAGTAGGTGCCGAGTGATATAACGGCTCAATTTCTTGCAAGATCCCCGACCGCTTGCCCCCCTCCACCACTCGGAGACAAGTTCTCGGTACATGAATGCATATTGTGTTTGCCTTGTCGCCATCCATTCCACAAAATTGAACCGCTCTCGCGTGTTGCAGGTGACCCGTCACGATTCTTGCCCATTGAGCATCACGATCACGCACGAAGCGTTATCACTCCTCGGCCGACAAGCCATACGACTGACCACGTCATGCGCCACCTCGGTAGCTTGCATTCCTCGCAGCGACAAGTCCATCACGTACTGGATCAGCACCGTGTCGTCAATATAGTCCGACACCCCATCCGATACGATCACGAGGAGGTACCGTCGATGAGCATGTAAGATGCGTCGTGAGGTATACGGCTCGTTGGAAACGAAGTTCCCACGCTGGGGCGTGGATGACGAGGAGGCGCGTCGCACTCGAGGCATTGTATGCTCCTCTCCGAGCGAATTGACGGGGTTTTTGTACTGCAAATCGCCCAGCGCACGGGACATATTCAGGGATCCTGGCATGTCGGGTGACTGAGGTCAGTATAGTTTCATCCATCTTTTGGCAGACTGTCATCATGGCTCGCGCGGTGCACGCGGTCTGGGAGGGCCCGCGGTCTAGTACTGTGTTTACTGGTTTAGCGTCTCTGCAGCCTGCAGTGCTGCAGTGCTGCAGTGCTGCAGTGCTGCACAGACTCCACCCCCGGCGGATGCACTCGGGCCCTGCGATCCGTCACCGCCGTCTCAAGGTCCGGCTCCTGCGCCTTTTCGAGGATCCATCTCTGCCAACTCCAACTTACCGAGTCGAGACACCCCATTTCGTTTCTCTACAATTCCTCCTGCCTCTTTGATCCGGGCCTGCTCGCTTGGAGTATCGGGCTTGTGTGCCTCGGTGAGTCGACGCTGTAGATGACAACCCCCCATGAAGGTTAGCATGATGGTCTTTGGGCCTGGACTCCACCACCACGATGGCACAATCCGTACAATGTGGAAGGGAGCTCCGGTCCTGGGATCTCGCTCCGCCATCACGACATGTGAATCACCCAGGTTGGAGACCACTAGTTCTCCCTCGGTCAGATTGATCAAGCACATGGCCACGGTCGATCCGGACATGGCCGGCTCAACGGACTCGTGCTGGAATCTCTCCAGCAAGAGTGCGTCCTCGTCAGCCAAAGCTGCTTTGATGGCAATGGCATAGTCTCCGCGAGGAAGCTCGGTTCGTTGAGCCAGGAGATGGTGCAGATGTTGGCTCGCATGCTCCGCGACTGCATCAGAGCCGCTTGAGGGCGAAAGAATCAGTAGTGTACCCACTCAGTTCTGCATCATACGGGAATCCCGGTACAGCAGTGCAGGTTTCTTCTTGCTTACTGGCCATCGTAGACTGCAAAGAAGGCGAGATTCTCATTCGTGTTGACTGGGAAGTGTTCCGGCAAGATTGTCGTGTATCGATCTTCTTGGAACTTTCTGCTTCCTTGAGCCTAGTAGGATGGTCCCAAAATTTAGTCTCGACTTTATCACTTGAAAAGCCGCAAGGAATATCAAAGGCGATCTTACTTGACTAGCTCCGACATCGAAAAGGAGCAGGGCATCCGAGGACGACATGAAGGAAAGGGGTTTTTTTTCTTTGGAAATGGACTTGTCTTTCTCACAAAAGCTCACATTATGTGAGAATTGCACTCAATTCACTCTGTCAGGTGCAAAACTATCGCGGTGATCTATAAAGAGTACAGTCTACGGAAGTCAAACCCGACTTCATCGCTGGCTACTGGGTAGAGTTGACATCACATCAAGGTGTCTACGAAGCCGTCGATTCCTCTCACTTGTCTGCGTTGAAATATCGGACGATACTCAAGGAACATCCGGCGCTGATGACCTACCATGAAAGAACAAGCCATTTCCATTTCTCAGAAATCCTTGTGGGTATCATTTACAAAGTCTCGACGACTTTCGCACTTGGCGATTCTACTTGGATTGTAACCACGCGATAAGCAATGCAATTTTACCCGGGGTGGACGCGGAAGTTTGGGTACTTGGAAATTGCAAGGCTACGCATATGCGGTAGAGGTACAGCGGTACTTCCCGCCACTTTTTGATGGATCTCAGTCGATCGGTCTTCCCACCGCACGGGCCACCGGTGCCTCGGGGGCATCATCATCGAAGTATTTTGCCCAAACGCCGCAGGCAAACAACATTACTTGCCCCTCCGCAACATCGTCTGCACGTCTGGCGAGCCACGGAGTCCACGAACAACCACATCTTTATCATGGGCTGGCCCGGTGTGGGAAGTCTCGCCGGATACTTTTTTTCTCGTTCGCAACCCAGCAACGACAACACACGATCGGACTCAACTTCCACGGATCCGGCGGACATTCAATCCGACTCGCCTCTTTCTTCTTCAGATACGCAGGATTTGAAAGAAACAAGGGACCATGGAGCGGACGGGATCACGAGCTTGGCTGAAGAAAGAGATCTGGAGAGCACTCAATCAACGCCCAAGGCATCTGCATCAAGCGCGCCGCCACCGGTTCTCGCCGTACCGACGCTGAGTTTGAATGGCGATGCATCCAACGAAGATGGGACCGTCGCACGCACCGAAAATGCTCGCAAAGACCAGCTAGATCCACCGGCTGTGGGCCGAGTGACATCTCCATCATCCGAAGCTAGCATCAACCAGGCGACATCTCACAGCACAGGAGAAGGGAGGAAACCTCCCCCTTCTCTCTCCACGGCCACGTCCAACAATACCCTCTCCCCGATGCCTCCTCCTCCCGTTCCCCGACCACGCCAAACTCCTCAACCCAACAGAGGCCCTCCAACCCTCCAACCGCCCCTACCTAGCGTTAGCTCCATCCGCATACCTCCCTCCGCCGCAGCAAGCCTCCGCGCACCCCCAACCAGCAGCGGTCTCAGTAGCAGCACCCTCGCTCCGACAACCGTCAAAAAGCAAGCGTCGCGCAAAGTCATCCTCCAACCGGGCTACTCGCCCCTCGACTGGGCCGCCCGCACCAGTAACCCCAACAATGGGCTCCGGGGCGTAGGGGCTGCCAGCCGGCCTGGTACGAGTGACGCCGAGCATGTTGAAGATGCAGAATGGGCGCAAGGGTCGCGATGCCTGGACTTCGTACCAGGGCAAGGTGTACAATATCTCGCCCTATGCGCCCTATCACCCGGGGGGCAAGGGTGAGCTGTTACGTGGTGCGGGCAAGGACTCGGCGCAATTGTTTGCGGAGATCCATCCGTGGGTGAATTGGGATGGGATTCTGGGCGAGTGTTTGGTGGGGATATTGGTTTCGGAGCATGATCCCCAGGTGGAGAATGGGCTTGATGCCATGGACTGAATTGATCAAATGTCCCTGATGGAACGTCCGGCCTCGATTGGACATTCAAGTCGAGCCTGGTCAACCGTACAAGATCTATATTCCTGTGTGTATATAACTAAACACTATACCCGCGAGCCTTGCCAGAAGAGCCCGACCACGCGGCTTTGTGACCTCGCAACACAACACTACTGATTGATACCCATGTACCACGTTGAGACCAGCTTTGTCCATTACACTATCAACCCAAGGAGGCGTAACGGAGTATAATGCGTGATTTGGATATCAACAAGAAAAAGGACAAGAGTGAAGCCATTCGACAAGACCTCGCAGAAGGCATGGATGGACATCGCCACGCCGCGAAGCGAAATTCAAAGCTCGCTTCCTCCCAGGAGTCGGACGGGTTTCACATACATCCCATCTATAATTCATCGTTCTTCTCGACACCCTTGATACCGACGAGCTCGGTCTCAAAGACAAGAGTGGCACCGCCGGGGATGGGGCCAATGCCGCGCTCACCATAGCCGAACTCGGGGGGAATAGTCAGAGTGCGCTTTTCGCCGACACACATGTCGAGAAGACCCTGGTCCCATCTGTGTTTGAAATGGCTGCATTAGCGTATCTGTTCCTGTTCCCTGGACCACGAGGGGATGCAACAACATTGAAGCGGATAGATTGCAAATAGGCGGTCAAAACAAAATCAGAACAAAGACAACGAAGTCCCGATAGAAGAGTCGTGACCCAGCGAGCACTCTGCCACACTTACCCCTTAATCACACGGCCAGTTCCCAGCGCAAACTCCAAAGGAGCATTGCGCTTGTAGCTCGAGTCAAACTCCTTGCCATCTGCTTGGAGAGTACCCCGGTAATGCATCTGGACAGTGTCGCCGTTTTGGGTCTTGCGCTCACAATCCACCTTGTGAGTGACTTCGATACCGAGCTCGGCGGCACAGGCCAGCGAGGCGAGAGTCAAGAAGAGAGTCGCGAAACGCATTTTGATGTGTGATGTGGGAGGGGGGGGGGGGGGGGGGGGGGTGTTGACGCCTGGGAGATTGAGGAGAGATAGAATGTATGGAGAGTCTTTGTTGGAGAGACGTACTGTACAACGTTATTGAACAGGAAGAACAAGGTAGGGAAATGCAAGTAAGAGGAGGGGAAGAAAAGAACAACGTGGTGGAGTTGCGAGGATTGCGGAGACGTGAAAAAGGTACGTGGCCCACTCAGGTGGGGTCGGGTGGGCAGGCCATTCTTCAGACGAAATCAATTGCAGAGTCTCTTCGAGGTGCAGTATCCTACTCTCGGTGAGGTGTCCATCGACTTAATATCCACTGGTACTTTATCCCTGCGACACCAAGAAAGCGATACTCTGTTGCTTTCACCAGCCGAGTCCTCCTGAGACACAGAATCCATCTATACAATCAAATGTACAAGGTACAATGTAGTATACGTACAACCTCTTCCTGTTCCCCGCACGGCTCAAGACGCCTTTCCAGCAGAGGCACCAGTCATGACAGCCTCGGGGATGCCCTCACTGGCATCACCGACGAGTTCATCTTCTCCCATGGATCCCTCCCATCCATGTGCCACCAGGTATGCACGGAACTTCTCATCACGCAGCCGCAAGTCCTCCCCGGACAGGTCAGGGACAAAGAACCACGTCACCAAAACACCGACAACTCCGCAGATCGCAGCCACAATAAACGTCCATTTCTTGCCAAGGTTGTTCGAGATAGGCTGGAATGCTTGCGTCCCGAGCGCCGCACCCGTCTTCCCAATTGCCGCGGAGAGACCGTAACAAGTGCCGCGCACACCAGTGGCATAGGACTCGGACGATAATAGTCCCAACATATTGCCGGGGCCGAAGTTGCCGGAGCTTTGCATGAGACCGTAGAAGACCACAAAGAGAGGGATGATCTTGGTGATTCGATCAAATGCGCAGCCGATGATGAGGCCAAAGATCAGATATCCACTGAAGCCGATCATCATGATATTCTTCCGGCCAACACGGTCACAAAGTATCGCTCCGAGGAAGACTCCTGGCAGGGCAAGGGCTCCGAGAAGCAGCTGCCATTCGGCTGTCTGACGAATGGTGCCATTGCCGACGACATTGGAGATGATGGTCCCAGAGAAGACACCGTTTGGGAATGTGACAAAGTCTATGGGGGTAAGATTGAGGAATCAGCCCTGCTGTCAAAAAAGGGAGGTGTGCTGGGTGGATATTCAAGGGGAATCACAAACCATAGAGAAACCAAGCACCGCAGGTCCCAATTAGGCTCTTCCAGTAATAGCGAAGTACGAGTTGATAAGGGACATGTCGCTTGATCGCACCTCGACGGTACAGAGCGGAATTGAGCATGCGAATCCGAAAGTAGAACACGGAGAGTGGCCAGACGCATCCAATGCCAAAACACACTCGCCACACCGTACTATAGTGCGACTGGTGGCAGGCCGTCAAGACAATGAGAAAGATGGACACTGCGAAAGGACCTCCGAACGATAGGGGAAAGTTGGTCACCATAATAAACGCAGGGCCACGATGCTTGGGTGTCAGGTCGTTGGCGGATTCCGAGGCAGATGTAGAGGACGCGGGATACTCGCCACCGGCACCTGTGGGATAATGAGTCTTCTATTGATCAGAAATGGGAGATGGATTGATAATATAGGTCATACCGAACCCGACAATACCACGGGCAACAGTCATCATCCAGAACATGCCACCAATTGTCGCGCCATGTGAAGCAGTGGCCAAAATCCCACCGATGACGATCATCAGTGTGGTGAAGATGATGGCCGTCTTACGGCCAAGATAGTCGCAAGTCAAACTGCATCTCTATAGTCAGCAGATATCAGGTGAAGCCAAGTACTTGTTTCTAACCACTCACCCAACGACCACCTGGCCAATGATCTCGCCGACAAGCAGGGCATTGGAGACTCGTGTGCTGACACTCGTTGTGTATTCACTCGGATATTCTTTCTTGAGCAGGACATTGGCCATAGTCCTGCAAACAGTCCATGCGTTAGAGATGGTCAAGTTTCTTTTTTTTTTTTTTTTTTTTTTTTTTTTGCTGCTTTCAGGAAATGCGATCTGATGGTACTCACATCAAGTTATTTTGATAACCATCGCTGATCAAGGCAAAGCCACTGGCAAACTACCGAGCTTGCTCCAGAGGAGCGATACGTGAGCGGAGACATTCCAACAGAAAGCAATCGGAGGGGCGAAAATCCCACTCATCCGCACACTTACAATAGTGAACCAGTCGGACAAACTCTGCTTCTTCTGCGTGACCTCGCATGAGGGGCCCTCCACCACATCGACTGCATGGTTCACCGGGGCTTTGGCTAAATCAGTCTTCTCATCGGCGGCAGATGCGCGGGGGCGGCCATTGGGAACAGTTTTCTAGAGTCGTTCTGTACACGAGGTATCCCCAAATTCCATAGAGTATGCAAGGAAGAAGTAAAAGGGACAATGAGGGGTAACCCATGTTACTTATAATCAAGTCCATGCGTACCTAAGCGCACGTGGCGCTCTCTGATGAATTGAATCCCAAGGATTCACCCCTAGGCGCGGCCTGATGGACAAATTATGGCTAAGCGTCGCCCATGGCGGCCGCCACTTTACAAGAAGCTTTCCCACGTGTTCTGCCGCGCAATATGAGTCGCTGTCGCAGCTGTCCGTGGCGGCGAGCGTCAGGGTCGCATTGAAGGAATTTCGACATGCTTCGAACAGCCGCGATGATTTTTCAAGGTAGAAGGTTCAATATTCTTTCCCGACGGACTGAAATATCCTTTCCCGACGGACTGAAGGAGGAATCCAAGCTTTACCGGATACGGAAAGGATCTTATACTGTATATGAGTGAGGAGTGAGTGATTGAAAGCACGTGGGTGCGCAGCAGCCGCCAGCTACTGTCAACTTTTATCTGGTGAGTGAATGTTTAGTCTACTAGCCACGTGAGTGCACGTTGCACACATAACATAACGCTGTCCTAAGGTAGCTCAAGTGTATTGAACGCCAAGAATAGATAAAGAAGTCGGTGATGATATCTTCGGAACCCACGGGCAGTCCTTCCAATTTGAGCGTCAATTTAGAACCTACATCTAGTCCTGTTCACTCAAAGCCAAAGACTTTTGGGGGCCAGCCACGGGCAAGAAGCTCGGTGGTCTTACAGTTGTTATCCAAGCAAGACCATTGTCTACATAATCAGGGGGCTGGCGAGCGAGGATCCAATGTCCAGTATGTACAGATGACAAATGAAAGGATGACTTTCGAGTCAGAAGAAGTCTATCATCCCCGCAATTCTTTTTCAAAACACCAACGGGAAAATAGGAAGAGAGAATAGATCAATGATGCGACCAGGCACATTGGATTCTAGAAGATGAAGAACTCGTGAAACAGGAAGGGATGTGAAAGTCATTATCATGAAAGGGTTTTTAGGCCCATTTTCCCAACAAAGCCATGAGGGCAGCCCCCAAGCAAAGTAAAATGAATGCAGTAAGCACTTCTCGGATGGGAGCTTTCCGCATGGAGTTGCTGAACATAAATTCATGTGCCATAAGCTCAACGAGCGCGGTGTAGATCAAGATGCCGGCAGAGATCGAATCAAAGACACCATTGACAATGAGTGTGGTCCGTCCCGAGGGTGGGTAGCTATTTCGGACCCCCAACCCAATCGCAACAGCAATTGGGGTTGAGATGCCAAAGGCCAGCCCCAAGAAGTAGGGTGTTAGCCGTTTGGAGGTTGGCCAGGGAATCAGAGCTAGGCGAGAACCCAGACCGAGGCCTTCAAATGTCTGGTGGAAGACCAAAACGATGTAGAGGGTCGTGAATTCCGCGCCAGAGACTGCCAAGGTGAGACCAATAAAGACAGAATGGAAGATAATGCCAAACTCCAGAATGAAGATAGAGGTCAACTGAGCCGCATAGTCCTCCTCCTTTACAGTGTCTTTCTCTTCAGTTTCATCGGAATCATGGTGTTCGCGGGAGTGGCCCAAGTGATCTTCACCAGGAAGGTGGTGAGTCTTCACTGGGGCAAGTTCCTCGACCATGGGTTCAGCAGTGCCGATATGTGTGTGGGTATGGTCTTCCTCATCATGGGAGTGGCCATGACCGGAGCCAAAGTTTGAATATCGCATGACCATCAGCTCGACAAAGAACAGCATGACAATTGTCATCAAGACGATGCCCTCCACCCAGCTGTACTCCGTAATGGGACCTGTCAGGCATGGATTGGACAAGGCCTCGTGCGCGGGAGCAAGGAGGTGAATGAAGGCAGTGGCGACGATGACACCGGAACCGAAGTATTTAGCAAAGAAGAAAGCCCATCCGGAAATTCCTCCACTCCCGACAAAACGGCGAGCAAAGACCGGGAATATAGCTCCAAATGTAGACCCAACCATGATGACAAAAATGGAAGAGATACGCAGGCCTAGACGGCCGTCAAATTCATTGCCCGTAGCACAGGCGTCATTGGCACGGCCCATGAGAGCATGAAGATTGGATGTTTCCATCCTCGACTGCAGAGAGGAAACTGCAGAGAGGAAACTGCAGAGAGGAAACCACCGGGGACAGAGTAATTGATGAGCAAGTGTGAAATCTCGTTTCAGCAACGTGAGAACAGTACCAAGTGACCGCCTGGAGAGCACTCAGGGTAACCGGCAAATCCGCACAATGTACAGTCAAGGCACTGCGAGGGGAATCACGAGCAGTCGGTGTGGTGTTAACACTGGACCGCGTGTGGGTGTTTAACCAGTAGCGCGATGCCTAGTGCGAGCAAACCAGATTGGCCTGTCCAAACTCACTTGTCAGGCCTTCGCTGCAACACACCACCGCTAGAAGGACTTGCTTTGCACTAGCGATTGTAATTGGACTCTCATCCGATAGTAGGTAATGCACGTTTCCCAAAAACCGGTCTGAGAAGTAGTCCGCCCGGGGTGATCGCTGCAGAAATTTGGGAGGATCGAAGCTTGGCTGCTCTTTCTTTCCTAATGCGTCCAAACGTGGGAATGGTCCGCGAGAAATTTGCGGAGTGCGATGGGAAAAGCGCTCTTGATCTTCTTCACACCAGCTGAGCAAAGAGCGTCTTGACAATTGCAATTCGTTATGGACGAGAGAGCATGTCAGGTTTATCAACAGTCGCTCTTCAGAAACTGCGGAGACTGCAGCCGGGCTGTCTAGCGGCGGGGGATCCATGAGGACCTTGTGGATTGAGAAGACGTCAAAATCAAGAACTGTGTGGTAAAGGTACCTAGTACCTGACTTTGTATATTGGTTTTGGAGCAATACCATGTACTTGGTACTGCCAGTACACTGCAGCCTGGTGAGTATGTGAGGACCTTGGGGACGAGTCCGTTGCGGGTGAGAACCTTGAGGACGAGACTCTTCCGAACCCCGCCGGTCGAGACCTGATCACGTCAGGTAGCTTCACGTTTACTTCCATTAGTTTGACAGGATGATCTCGACATGGTCGTAGGAGATACAGATTCAGCCTTATTAAAGGCATTGGTTGAGCTGACCATATCGTGTTTCGCGAGTATGAAAGATGTTGCTGAGATTCTAGAGCTTGTACCACGGTGAACGAACACGCATCATGACCTCAGTCTAAAAAGCGGTGACGACGGCGGCAGGACTTTCTGCCAATTGCTGCTGTGGGATCTGCCGGGGCGACACTCTGAGTGCTAGCTTGCCTGATGAGGCGATGAGCTCACAGTTTCTCCAACATTGAGGTCCTGCTACTGAATCAGGATCACGCCCCGACCGGTTATTTATTGTCAGTGACATGGCTCCTATTCGCCGATACTTGCGCATCAGCAAGCACTCCGTGCTAGAGTGCCGGATTTACTTGGATAACCCGGCCGACTCCCGATGGCTTCTGAACACCCGAGATCCGGTTCTGCATCGGGTCTTCGAGGCAATCCGCCCACTAGTGCTACCAAAACTAAGGGAAGAGAATCAGAAATTGTGGTCACGCAAGAAGAGTAAGCCTGTAAAAGATGTCATTGTACAAGGTAGGTCGGCGTCCGTTCTTCTTCCCGCACAACTTGACCACGGCACAAGACACTGACGTCAACATACGAAATGCTGCAGATGAATTCGAGGTCGCCATTTTCCTTCGCGAATCTCGTACTCGGCACGCCTTGTTGACTCGTAACAAGATATTTGAGACACCAGACAAGAAGACCAATAAGAGTTTAAAAGATGAGCCTGCGGATGAAACAATGGATGGCGCTGTTGGTCTTGATCCCACTACCGAAGCACCAGTCGTTGTGGACAGTGACGAGGGGGAAGCTGAGATTGATCTCAGGGATATTCCTGAAGCATGCGATGAGAATGCACACAATGGTTCGGCCTCGATATTTATGGGTCAAAGAGATGACGCAAGCAGAGAAGGGCCAGCCACAGATGAGAAGAAGATGCGATTCAGCACTCAGTACGAGAGTTTCAATATCACTGGATGGGTGCTGTGTCTTCTCATCACTCGAAAGGGTGACAGGGGACAGAGTCGTGTGGTTGCAACGCCGACGAAACAGCCACTCATGGAGGAATGGATCTCCAGTCAGGCTCAGACTGGCCTAGGGGAGGATTGAGATGATACTCCTACCATTGCATTGACGGTTGACGAGAGACTCGTCTCATGTGATCTCTATGCAGGCTCTTCGCGATAACCACTGCCCCTGCTCACTGCTATGTTGACGGCTGCGGAACATTTGTCTTGTCTTCACTAGGCTTCGGTATCACGAGATAATCGGGGAATGTAGCCAATTGCAGACTGGGCTTCTGGAATCACTGCAAGCTTGATCTCATGCGTCCCCTGGAGAACAGTCAGTTGTTGGACACTTTGACGTTCATGAAACAGAACCTGGCCAAGAGCAAGCCCTGAAAGGGCATTGGCAGTCGTTTTCTCCGATGCTAGGGGAGGTGTGGAAGTGACCCATCGTCCTCTGCTTGTGCTTCAAACAATCGCTATCTACTCGCTCACGACGCAGCATTGCGATCAAGTATACGGTAACGTGCGGCATCGGCCCCTTCTCCGGAGCCCCGGGGTGTTCGGGAATATAGTGGAGAATGATTCTCGACTGTGTTACGCATGTGGCGATGACCCCTGGTCCAAGTTCAGAGTCCTGGATAGCTTGGACCGTCTGAGCAGTAAGGGTTTCTGCAGGGTCAATGTCTGCAACGTTCTCTACGTGGCTGGCAAATGAGATGCACAGGAATAGACTTAGTGGAGGCTGAGACACAACAACCAGGGCTGATGAGAATAGTTTTATTCCAACGTCGTTACTACGTGCCACCCCATTGCGAGGTTGGCTCATTGCTGTATCTGAATTCTCTATACGCTCTTTGGAGCTGTGCGTCATGCTAATGAGACGCGAGCACTTGGACTTCGAAATTGTCTCGGTGAGGTTAAGCTGCATTTGGCAAACTAGGGCGTCATACCGGTAGCCATCTACGTAGACACATAAGGCTTCCACTCCGAGAGTTCCGTGACTTGCTAGCGGCTCCCAAGGGATTCGGTCGCAGGAATCTGAGCTTAGAAAGCGAAGTAGCCCAGTGGGTCTCTTCGAGCTGAACTAGAAAAGATGAAACAGGGGCTCCACACTGTCATCTGACCAGCTGAAGCGGCTGAAATTTTTGTGGCATGTGAGACCGAGAAATTTAATCTTTGACTGGTGCTTGAAATCGCTTCGATCGGCCTCAAGTTTTCTCGAACGAGAATTTACGGGCATCAATATTTCACAGCGGTGACAGGATCCTCTGTCGTTGTGAGGTAGATCGCGCTTTATGCTGCACCGCTGTAAGGTGTATCTGGCAACCTTTTATTGTACTGTACTACCTTTCAACACATCTTTGGGCAAACTTAAGTACATCGTACGTCCTATACATATTAGCCCGCTAAAAGATCTTCGAGCTCCAAGTTTGTTGACCCCGGAATATAGCGACGCTAGCATCTCACCCAATCCCGCTGTGTACACGCTACATAGTACACACTACACTCAACTTTGTACAGACGAGAGAGAGTACAGACTATTTCCATTCGAGTTGCAGCGCTATACTGCTTTCGTCGAGATGATGACCGGCTATATCAAGAGTTGTCTCACCGACACTTGTATTTTGTCCCCAACGGCCCGGCTGACGGGCGTTCTTGAGGATCCGTGTGTAAATGTGTATAGCTGGATACAGGATACACGCTGTACTCTCCAGTCCGACCAAATTTGGATCGAGCTGCGGGTCTTCCTGTCTTGGGCAAAGCCACTCTAACTCAAGCCCAAACGTCAATCCGTCAGACTGAGGTTCAAGCGGGAGCCAAACAGACGGTGTTTGACCTACAGTAGTTAGGCGACGCTGAGAGGAAGGAAGCGAAAGGGGGGGCGACCCGCGAACTATGGAACCGCAGAACCATGGGAACAGCCCGGCGAACCGTCCAATTCTACCAGGAACCCCCTTTTTGCCACGTGTGGGTGGGTCCTTTCTAGAAACGGGCCAAATCGCGAGGGAGACCTTGTGCTCGCGAAGTCTGAAACACAAACCCAGATTTAAAATTTGACGAGCAACGGTCATCCGAATTTGGGCTTAGGGCTGGGAGAGTGGTCTTGTCCAGATTTGGAAGCGTGAGGTGGACATTCATTCAGCAGAGCTAACCAGAATAGTTGAGGTGCTTCGGCAAAACACGAAGGTATACCCAATCGTCAGAGTACCTTGGACATAGGCTCATGGGGAGATCAGTTGAATCAAGTGGAATAGACAGGCCACATATATTCAGGCACAGTCTGCACAGACAATGTAGCTAAGATGCTATGACTGATACTTTGCAGTCTTGACCGTCTTCAAGTCCCAAGTCATTGCTGCACTCAACTACTTGACGCATGCATGCCTTGAACTGCCACTTCAATCTCAGTTAGTCAAAGATTCAGTAGTAGTCTGCTGCTGTACATGTGCTACTGCTTGCAGTGAAAACTACAGTATCACCTCATGGGTGGGGCACGCGCTGCACCGCCACGCACTACCCGAATCCTACCCAAATCTGTGGCCATCCATCACTCGAAAAGATTTCGTGTTCTTTGTGTGACGACCGACGACCCAATATCCACTGCCGAGTAAAACAAAAAACGGAATCGACTAGTAATCCTGGGATTACCGTTTAAAGCTGGTTGTCCACCAGAGTCTTTCCACTCCTCTCCTTTCCTTTTCCCGTCCCTTCCGTGACAGTTCCAAAATTGTTCCCTTTAGCGGAGCCGTTTGATCATTCTTTGGTCATCTTCCCTTCACCCATCTGGCACCGGGACGGGTGTTTCTCGGGCTCCACTAGCTCTCGATGAATGATACACAGAATGCCTGAATAGCTTCTGCACTATGACATACTCAGTTAGCGTGCTGAGCAGCCAGTGAGTCACACGGTGAAACCCCCGACCCGTTTGTTCATTGATCCGCCAAATCCATCTGGCTGCAAGGTACAGGCAACATCAGGCACACCTCGAAGCGGACCCAATGGATCCACCGTGCGCTCCATTTGGGCATCGAGAACGAGATATCGGGTCTAGCAGTTATAAGTTAGGACAGCAGCGTAATAGGTAACTTGGCATAGTAGCATAGCTCAGACGTCGACAGGTAAACTTGAGCTACTGTAGAAGACCACAATACACTTTTACTTTTCGATTGATAGGCAAGGACGGGGACAGCACCCAAGTAGGTATCCGGAGATTTCATCGAGACCACGCCGTAGGTAGGTACCTACCTACCTGGGGACTGAATACATGTCGCTGAGGCTTCAGGGGAGGTGAATGGTTTCCCGGCACTTTTCTTTGCATACCTAGGTACCTAACACTTGGTATCTTCACTTTGCAAATTGTATTACACCTTATACTATAGCAGTGTAGTCCATTAGTCCTACCACAGTTATACAGTATAGTAGTACAATCAAGTCGATCAACACTGCAATATCAGATGTATGATGATATGATTGAGTATCCCACTGTGGTCTGTTAACCTGTTATCAAAGTGGATATGTTCTGCACGAATCTGCTGCATCCCAGCAAATGACACACGCTATTGATCTAATGCATGATCTGATCACATGCCCGCAGCTTGAAAGCAGGCACCTGTGGGCACCGCCCACTGGCACTGGGCAGAATGATGGTCGCGCTAGTCTCAAAACCTGGCATTTAGATAACGTCCATCGAATTACGTGGCATATTATTCACGGCTGATTGAGCCGAAGGCCTTTCCTTCCAAGTTTACTCCTTTGACAAACCTGTAGGATATGTGACATCCCCAGGCTAAGCGGGTATACCACGCTGACACGCACAGTGTCATGGCGCACGGTCGCCTGCTTCCAAACTTGAGACGACCTGCTGGAGCGGGATATCCGGGGCAGGCCGGAGAATTACAGTCTGCAGATCGATCAGTAAACTTGCTGTTTACAGCCACTCGATCAAAGTTGCGCGCATTGAACTTTCCAGGGCTTGACACTAACCCTGAACGGGTCGATAGATAAGCCGACCGTGTCAAAGAAGATGCAGATGCAGCATCCTTGCTAGTCTTCATGTACCTTTTCAGGGTGCTCGTGATCTACAGACTGCCTCGCAGGCGGTCTTTGACACACCGAATGACCCGCTACTTTAGACGATGTTGAGTCTTTGCATGACCCCAATCAGCGGAGAGATTGTGATCACGTCGATGGCGCTGCACTGCAACGGTCAGACATGTGTGCGTGTGGGTGCAGTGCATAAGCCTGCAGTTGAATGTAGCTAGGCCATGCGCCGGTCTCACGGTCTCCGGGTCTCCGAGCATATTTCTTGTATGTTTTGAAACGGGCACCCTGGTCGACTGATGTGCATGCATGATTAGCATGAGGAGTGTGTGGGGAAGTCTTTCAAAGCTTCTACCCAGTACATGACCACACACTACACAGTACACACAGGTGGGATCGACAAACGAGATACATCTCAGGTAGCACGTACAGTACACTGTCATATCCCTTTTTGTCCTACCAACCGGACACGCAGCACATTTGTTCGTGGCTGTAGGCAATAGTGACCCGTGATTTCATGGTCTCTCTGTTGATTCGGCTTCGCTACGATTTATTGGATTCATTGCGAATCGACGCGGGGGCCGTGGCCAGTCGCACGTCCAAACCCTAATACAATTTGTGTCGAGGCGACACAGTCAAGGGTCATCAGGAGTCTGGTAGGTAACAGCCACTAGGTATGTTATATGAGCCAAGGTGAATTTCATTGCATGTTCGGGGCTACCACTAAGAGGTAGTTATCTGGAAAGCTTGAAGAGTCTCCAGATTCAAAAAGGTCTTGGTCAACGATATACCTATGTACTACCCTCGGGTGGAGATTTCATTCGATATATATCATGCCCGTAGCCCGATACTACCCTGAAGTCCAGGGTAAGCCAGCCTCCAACTAAAAGCCCCTTATGTACGGGCCGATCGTCAATGTGAACCTTGGTGAAGACTTGGAAATATCCATGCTCGAGTGATCACCGCTCAGTGGCGCAACATGTGCAGAAGGGCAACGAGGATCGATCATGGCTTGAACTTTGAAAAGGGCCGTGTCGAGTTGGGGAATCCTCATGCCCGAATGAGTCGAATCCACGATGTCTATTCCTAGGGCCGCAATTATATTTAGATTAAAGTATTTATTCGCACGCTCGTATATCCCATGGGTCGCGTACACTCTGCAGTAATTTCCGGACTAACATGGATGAAATCGATGTCTTTGAAAAGGTTGATCCGGAAATCTCACAACATTATGGTCAACACTTGTTGCACGAGCAGGAGATCCATCCTGTATCCACGTATATCCGTGTTGATGGTTGCCCGTTGCCACCTCGAAGCTCTTACGTCTTTCCCCTGAAACTGTCATTTCCCATTCTCCAGTGAACGGCAAGGGAGGGTTGGATTTTTCGCCTCCCCCTGAAACGTTGGAGCACCAGTCACCCCTTTCATGCGGATTGGATTGCCCCACCCTTTGAATGCAACGAGGATCATTTGTGCAGGGACGGGAGAACGCACTCTGGAGAATGCGGGCAGGCACGCCAGACGATGCATTATTATTGTTGATCCTGGACGTGCATTGTTTCTCGAAGTTGCACAGCTTCTCCTCTCACCTTTTCTGAAACATGCCGGCTACAAAGGGGATGTATCATATTGATGAGACGAAATGATGGGCCCCATCTTAGATTACTTACCATCATGGTTGGCTATCAAACGACATCTACTGTATGATGTTTCGTTGTTTACCACTAAGCCCGATGCAGGTGCTCTCGGGCTCTTATTTCCTCCGATTCCTATTTGATTTCGATCCGCACCTCCATCCGTCCGAGACCCAAGTCGAGCGAAAAGAAGCGATCACGGATGAGCTGAGCCCCTCTGCGCCACAAAGAATGCCTGCCGCCCCCAGGATGC